TATATATATATATATATTATGAACATGTACATATGTTCATGAATCCGTGTACTTTCTTCGTTGCAGGGGTGACCATGCTAAGTAGAACTGACGATACGGTAGAGGTGCAAGTAAACGGTATGAGAAACCGGATATTTTTGATTGGATGGCTATTTTTATATTGGTACTCGTTGGGTGAAGTTTGAGTATAGAACTCAGACGAACTTTCTGACAGTTGTATATATACTATACACGCGTATGGTAACGGGGAATCGACTAGCGCGCACACTCTACAAATAGATCCGCAACTCAAATCGGTTTGGTATACTGATAGCCCACAATAGCTCGTACACACGCACTTGTACACCGAATTCGTGTCTTATCATTAAACCTAGCTATTATATACACTCTCACGGTAATACAATGCAGATGTCAAGGAGAGGTGGTCCATCCTACACACCCTGCCATTCGACCCGCAACGTAAACGGGTTAGTGTTCTGGTGCAACAGTCGGGTGATGCTCGTGGGGAAGTACGTGTGCTTACAAAGGGAGCGGACGATGTCATGATGGCACGTAGTACGACGGGAGATGTGAATGATATAGCCGAGAGCATTGAGATGTGCGTATGGTTTTTCAATACGTATTCATAGTGTTTGGCGGGTGTGATGGTTGGTGAGTGTATTGATTGGCAGGTCCTTGAGTTTAGCTGAAATTGTGCGCTCGACCAGTAATTAAATTGGTCAAAACAGAGACAAATGACTTTATCTGCGACGTAGTTGTACTAATATGCGACACAACCCCTTCACTGTGCGAAATTGCCCTCTTCTCACATGTGTTTCCCAATTTTGTACCGATTACCGCACTACAGCTTCGCACAGATCGGCTTACGGACGCTGTGCATGTCACACAAAACAATAAACTACAATGAATATAAAACATGGTGCGACAAGCTCCTTGCAGCGGAGAAATTGGTACAAGACAGAGATAAAGCCACAGCCAAGTGCTATGAGGAGATGGAACAGGGACTACATATGGTGGGAGCATCTGCCATTGAGGACAAGCTACAGGTGAATGAGACGGTTTGGTTTCATGCGTGTGTTCAGTGTTTACGATTATGTAGGTGTAAGTAATGTTTGTACTTTTGGGTACGTATTCTGTTCGTGTATATATATATGTATATATATAAATTTAAATATATCT